AATGAGAAAAACGAAAGCTCATGAAATTCCATGCACACTAAACCACTCTTTCTTTCTTTCTTTCTTTGCCCTTTATAATCAATAAGCGAAACAAATTCCATACAAGAAGTAGATAAACGATAAGAAAGAAGAATAATCGAAAACAAGATAAAAGTGCGGAAGTAACCTATGAGACAAGAAAGTATTTTTCCCGATCTATTGATCTAAAGTCTTAAGTGGATGAATAATCATTGTTAAACTACTTTATAAAATTGAATTGAAATATATTTAATATCATTAGAAAAGAACATTGATGATTGCAAAATATTTTTTTCTATCATCGATCTTTCCAACACATAATGACATTAATTCGTTGGCCAATTAAAATGACTACTACTTTTTAGTTATTGAGTAAACGCTTTCCTCTGAACGTGGACAGTCCGTATCTATGACAAATTGGCATCATTCGATGGAAAACTCAAAGTTCGTAATAATTCTATTGAGTAATCAATCTCTTATAATAAGCCTGATATCGTTGAACATTCAACGAGAAATATTTCTATCGGTTCGTTATATGTCTTTTATGGCAAGTCTATTTAAATGGATCTTAATATGAATTATATAATAATCACTAGTTTTGTATAAAATGACTCTAAATCAATGAATAAAATAGTAAAAAATAAAATATTCATTAATAAAATTGCTGCTTTTTTCATTTGTAAGAAGAAAAGTTGTCATTGATATTTTTATAATTACCGCATTAGACTTTTCAATATGCGATTATTATAAATTATTATCTGCCGTTTATTTTATTTTCTTCCTATTTTTTCATATTATACATATTACAATGAATTCGTAATCTATTTAATTGTAGTAGAGAGGAAGTTGAAGAGACATTGATTTTCTTCGAGTTTGAGATAATTAGAAACTTTTAAATAATGATTTAATGCATCAACGATAAATCGATTTCTATATTAACGATCTAAATATAATTTGCAAATTTATTAAACAAAAAAATATTATTACATACGAGAATTTGTAAAAATAATTAATCCCTCTTTAACTTACCATACTCTATTCATTGTCCCACGTATTACTTTAGAACATTATTAGTACTCTTAATTATAAGATAAATGAAGTAGTTATACGAGGCGCATTGAGATTGTAAAATATAATATATCGTAATAAGTTCATCGAATAGTAATAATCTAATAGTCAAATCATACACATTGTAGAATAAGTAAGAGATAACAATTTTGAAAAAATTCTCCTAATAATAATGCAATAATGGATTGTTTGAATGATTGTTAAAAATGACGCGCGTATAAATATCTTGACGCTTTTGATAAATGAAATTTTCTGCTATTCTAGTAAATAAATCAATTTGTATTCTTGCAAATTACAGCTACCATTTGTCATAGCTCATGTCGGCACTATTTATTACCTTACTGATAGATAGACCATTAAATACTTCCACACAAAACGCCTATTAATTTCCAAAACAATTTCCCTTCATATACATAACTAATATTTAATTTATGATTTTGCATTATACAAATTTTCATATGTGCATAGAATATAATCTCGATGTATTTATATCGTGAAAAATTGTGTAATTTAGCTCGAGGCGTTTAGATTTCTAATGATATGCAAGTTATTGATAACGATCATCGATGGCCTGGATTACCTGAAGTTTAATTGCCATTAACGACATTTAAAAAAGGATCTTCCTTTTGCATTGTTAATATTTTGTAACCACGGGCCATAAGTGCATAGCTTATTAATGCTAATCGGTAAATGGTATGCGATTAGTGTAAGAGTGCAAGCATCGACGAGAGTGACAGGAGATGCACGAAATATAATACAGTTCGTATACATGTTAGTTTATCGGCGATGGAAAACTTTGGAAAATGCTGTCGGATTCGCTAGCGATTAGTTATAAGGTATAATTTAGCAGCTGTGACTGGTTTTTCGTTATTATACGACAAATCCTTCGGCTTTAACCCGAACTTTCGACTCGTCGATCTCCATTCGTGCGTGAAAGTACTTCGAGCTTTGATCGTACAATTTCCTTTAACTATATTGTACATTCTTTGTATATATATATATATATATATATATATATATATATATATATGATAATGAATATTGGCATATTGATTTCACATAACCAGATGGAGCCATGCACAAACATTGTCAATAATACAATATTTGTCATTTAATATTTTTACGCTTAAATATTTAGCATTGAGTATTCGTGTCTTCGATATTCCATAAGTCCATTTCGGAAAAAGTATAGAGAGCATATTTATATGCCATTATACTATGCAATATACTATGAAAACATCGGAACTTAAAATCCTTCAAAATATTAAAATATTTACTTTTCTTTGTGGTAGAAGTTAATTTTAAAAAGTTGATACATCACATAACAGTACTTTAGTACCTTTACGTATTTTACTGACATTTGCCATTTTCAATAAAGAAAAAATATGAGTTTAAAAACTTTATTAATTTTACTTTGTTTTCGAATAATATTTATTCTCATTATTCCTCTACAAAAATGGTAAACAAATCATAAAGTCTATTTTCATTCGAAGAATATTTTCTGTTTTTCATGCTCATCATTTCGGATATCCAAACATAAAACTTTACAATAATTAACTTATCGGTAAAACTCTTCGAATCCACCATATTCTATCCTTTTTATTGTCAAGGAATGCACTTTTTAATTTTACTTATAGAAAATTAATTGAGCACACGTATACGTAATGTATCGCAATGCATTCGAATATATCTGTATTATTTTTAAGCAAATTGTAATTGTTAAAAATATATGTAATTGTTAAATATTTAAAAACTTTGGCCCATTTTCCATTCGTAACAATAAGGATAAATTTTCATATTTTATGATTAACTATAATTACTTAATTCTAATTGAATAATATGTATAATGTAAATTCCTATGTATGGATATATTTAATGTATATCCATATTATATATATTATATAATATATACATATTATACATATTATATATCCATATATAATGTATATAATGAAAAGCGGCTTTGCGTTTATTTTTTACAATTATAATTCAATTTTTATTTGCATTTTTTTCATTTTGAAGCTTCAAAGAAATTATTATGCGCACGTATAAGAAAATAGAAATTATTTCATAATATTTATAAAAAATCTTAACGAAAAACTACATTATATTTAAAGTTCTATAATAAATTTTATATTCTCTTGCATAATTTTTCATTAAAGTGACTTTTTTTTTCAATACTAATAAGAACTATTACTTATTATTAATATCACGAAAGAATTGCTTGTAAATTATTAATTCATTATTTAAAATTTATCGTGTAATAACTAATTCTCGCGGTCTTAATAAGATTTGGCTTACCGAAGCCGAATTTACAATCAATCTACTTCACTTTGATCATTTTATAAAATTAAAATACAATCTAATAATTGAATATATTTTTAATTAATCGCATCATGTTTTATTAAAGATTAGTGATTATTATAAATATAAAATATTCGGCATATATTCGTATGATTTTTTTTTTGTAGTCGAAATTAAATTATTTAAACATCACAAGTGAATTGTGCATCGCGTAAGACATACATTCACGCGAAAGAAATTATAAAATATATTTTATTATTAAATTATTATTAAATCGAAACAGCTATCAATGTTAATGCTATATATCGATATCATTTACAGAAGAAATTACATACTATTAAACATTGCCAAGTCTGATTAAAACATACTATTATTATTGAAAATAATTTTTTTATAAGTTTTATAAAATTATACAAATTTTGTAATACTATCATTAATGATTACATACAAGTAAAATTATATATATATATATATATATATATATATTTCGCTAAAGTTAATTATATATATGGCCTCATTTTTATGGAACAGTCCATAAAGTTATCTATAGCCGATGTTTTCTAATTATGTTAAGGTAAAGTCTATTGTTAGAAAGTCCGTAAACTGATCTTCTATGCACATCGCACTTGTACAGTGATACTTTTATACTGTCTTTCGTTCTATTAATATCATGTAATTATATTGAATATTTCCTACATTATTTCGATGTATATCTATATATATATATATATATATATATATATATATATATATATATATATATATATATATATATATATATATATGTATGATTTTTAAACATGATTTTTAATATAAATATGGTAGAATTGGTTTTACTAAATAATATTTTCATATTATCCACATCAAATTATGGATAATGTCAGCTTTATAAACAAGATGTAACTTTATGAATAATCACTTTGTATCCATATGACTTTATAAATTTACTTTTAATCACTTAAACTTGTCTGTAATTAAACGAAGATTTTCACATAAAACACACTACATTGCATAATGTATTTATTTATATTTGCATTGATCATTGATAATGGCAAATAAAATTAATATTCTTATTCTAAATAAACCAAAAAATTCCGATGAGATGAAATTTAATGTGAAATTTAATATTTTTAAATACGAAATTGTCAATATTTTTTCAAACTTGAAAGGCCAGAAATTTCAAGTAGATATGTAAATTTCATCGATATTGTACAAAAGTAAAATTTTTTATTATAATATATTTCAGTCAATTGTTACAACTAATTATACTTATAAACTTGTATATAAATACAAATAAACTTAAAAATACATATTAACTTGTAAACAAAAACTGTATATAATGGTGTGTTGCTTTTTAAATTACAATAGTTAAATTGATGCAATTTTTTAATTTCATAAGTTAATGGACGTATTTTTTTATGCATTTTCAATAGTTTATCGAATACATACAATTTAAATACACTCATTAATTCATACCATTTATACGTAAATGTAAAAAACTAATTGTGTACAATTTATTAAGGTAAATAAATGTACATTCAAACAAGTTGCAAAATCGTTTTTGATTGTCAATTCAAAAGAATAATAAAGAGTCTTTTTATCTCTTATAGCGGAAGATGGTAACAACAAGGACGTTGGTGGGGGGGCATGCGGAAAGATCCTTATTATGTTATCCTGGGCGCTGGTAATAATAACAATGCCCTTCTCTTTATTCGTATGTTTCAAGGTAAGAAGTTGTCCCTATAAATATAAATCATAGTACTTGAGAATATGGAAAACGTGACGATAAATTAATTTAATACGTCAGATGTTTGTAATATTTATATTAAAATAATAAAAAAGGTAAATGACATATGAGATGTATATATAATTTAGGAAGCATTTAATATTTCAATTTTATATATTTGAATATTATTTCATATGTAAAATATTTTTAATCGAAAGATATTATGTACTAAAATTAAACGAAAAACTTTATTATAATCTTTTTTATTTAAGTAATGAGACTTTCAAATGGTTTAATAATTTTCTAATAATTTTAAATAAGTCAAGGTAAAGATAAACTCATATACGGAAATGATAATAAATAATTAGGAATTCGAATTTTAAATTATTGTTTAAACTTAACGTTCACTCCATTTTTTTTTTTTTTTTTTTTTATTACGATACTGCCAATAAAGAAAAAAAATCATTTTAATTGTAAATATTCAATTCAAATATATAATACGTGTATTTGCCTATTTTATGTACATGTAGCACTACAAAATACTAAATCTTTAATCTCAAATTCAACATTTTTTATTTTCAAGTAATGTTCATGTTTGTGGATGAAAAAAGTGGAGCTTAACAAATTCATATAAACTGACTACTACTTTATATAAAATAACTTTGGAATTTCATTAAGATCATGTTAAAGACCAAATTTCACATTACTATATATAGAATGAATTTGAAGCAAAATAAATATTATGGTTCCTAAATCAAGGCATTTGATTTAATTACTCATTTTTAATTATTACAGCTCGACGGTAATTTCTAAATTTCAAAGTATTAAATTCCATCTTCGTCAGTACTATGATAATACAATAATAATATTTCGGATTCTTATATCTCCAATATTTAATTTAAATTACAAATGTATTCGTTAAAAAAAAAAAAGAAAAAAAAAAGAAGAAGAATAACACGATGTATTTAAGTTTTAGCAAAGATATATTTATATTTTATGTTTAAAGTGAATTAAATCTGTCCTTTATTTAATTTGTACACAGGTGGTGCAAGAATATGAAAGAGCTGTTATATTCCGCCTTGGTCGACTGCTCTCTGGTGGTGCAAAGGGTCCTGGTAAGAATTATTTTTTATAAAAATGTAATCATTACTAGATGTTTTCATTATATGTACCACAAAAGTACATAAACAATAAAAGAATTATTGACTAGAAATACATGCGAAATATCCATGAAATTACATTTAAAATTTGATGTAAGAATTCAATATTTTAAATAGAGAAATAGTAATAAATTAATAAATAATGTAACATAAATTTAATAGAATATAATGAATTTGTGCGATGGGATCAAAAATTCATCATTTCAACATGATGAATAATAATATAACTTCGTATAAAAGTATGAAATACACGTTTAGAGCAGATAAACAAAGTTATTATTACATCTTAGAGTTCTTGTGCCCAGAATATGTCAAAAAATTAAAATTCTCATTGCATTAAAGTGTATCATGAAATTTTAATTAACAATGAATTTAATTAACTCACGACATTTAGATTATTCATAATATTACAATTCAAATGAATTTATATATATATATATATATATATATATATTGATAAGTTAATAAATTTAAGTAAGTGAAGTAATTAAAAAAAAAAAATGGTAAATAAACTTTACAATAATTGTGTATTTGAGTTCTTCTGTTGTCTATTTATGAAATGAAATGAAATGAAAATGAAACTAAAATTTTACATTTTTAATAGAGAAATATAGACGTTTAAATTAAAATTGATTTTTCAAATTTGAATTTACTCTATACTATTAAATATTGTAGTTTTTCTATTATAATGTACTTTAAATAATATTAAATAATATGCAATATCCAATTGATTTTCATTCAAGTTATTCTTAAATAAATTTTTACTTAATTTTTTTCGCTTGTGTTTTCTACTGTTTAAATTACTATAATAATAGACTTTAATAACCAGTAATGCAAACATGAGATATTGGCTATATATATGATGTCAAATACAAATTGATTTCACGATTAAATAACAACATTAAAATCATTTCATCCAATTTTATAGAAAAACGAATGTATATTAAATATGCTTAGTTCCTAATAATCTTGAAAATTATTATTTTCATGTATTATTTTCGGAATAATTACCATTATCGATCACTTAATATTTCAAATTTTAATCAATAATACTCTTTATTCCTCTTTTTGATAAAAACTCTTGATCGTTAAAAACGTTTTTGATCATTAAACATTTTTAATAAATACGACGTTATATTTATTAATCGTCACTGTAAATTCACAGTATTTGACGAATGAATTTTGAAATTTGCCTATTGCATGAAACGCGAGAACCAGTGTGTAATTAAAAACAGAATTTATTGTTGATGAAATCCATTAATGATTAATAAATAATCATTCGTAGCTCTGAAGTGATTAGTTATCCTTATTTTGACGCACAAATGACTTTAAAGAGCCCCCCCCCCCTCACACACACACACACACACACACACACACACACACAAAGACACGCGTGCGCGATGAACAGACACAATAATAAGAGAAATTCTCTTTAATATCTTCCCTTCGCGCAAATACAATAGATTCCCATGCGTCTCTCCAACAAATACTTTGCCTAGGCACAAGACGTTCACATTTATGCAGGAATTCTATTTGACTTTTGCAGGTATTTTCTTCATTTTGCCCTGTATTGATAGTTACGCACGAGTGGACCTACGTACACGTACTTATGATGTGCCGCCACAAGAGGTTCGTATATCTCTTTCTCCATTGCGTTAATAATCCAATATTTACAGAAGTCGAATTTCGAATTTTTATAAGCACGCGATTCAAGTTGCCGGAAAATTCACGTGCCTTTGGAGCAAACGAGTATAAAAGCTCGAGAGAGGTGATCTGAAGTGAATTTCGTTATTATGTTTCAAATACAAACGAATGTCGCCAGGTGCTGACAAAGGACAGCGTGACAGTATCAGTGGACGCCGTCGTATACTACCGAGTGAACAACGCGACCATCTCGATCGCCAACGTGGAAAATGCACACCACAGCACGAGGCTCCTCGCCCAGACGACGTTACGTAACACCATGGGCATGAGGCCCCTGCACGAGATTCTCAGCGAGCGCGAGACCATCTCCGGGAACATGCAGGTCGGTCAGGTTACCGGTGTTCCATCGTGTCCATAGTCTTGCTTTGAAATGAGAATTTCTTTGGTAACGAGCGGTGGCAAGATGAATTCATCTACGAATAATCTTTCTTTCATCAGTCTTTCGGCGAAATTCAAATTCATTTGCCAACAGCCACAATCAGCGAGTTCTCGCGTTCGCTATTGCTCTTTCGACGTATCCTTTTAATATTCCCAAAATGGCAATAGTTAAATAAAATTTCCACTCGATCTCACAATACAATCTTCCACGTGTGTCTTTTACCGTATGTTAATTTTTATAAATGCCATTATTTTTTAAGCCGAATAACGTTATATCGTGATTAATGGCGTAATGCGAGCATATAGTGAAAAAAAAAAAAAAAAAGAAAAAAAAGAAAAAAAAAAAATAAGATGGAGAGGAAGTTTTAAGTACTGAGTAATAATAATCACAGCGATTAACAAGAAAAGTATAGGGAAACTATTGACTGTACTAGTAGGATCATTATTTCGGTAAAAATATGGTTAACCAAGAAAATACCAATTGCCTTACCGTGGCGGTAAATTGAACTAATATGGCCTTTAAAAACAGAGAATCGGCTTTTTAATTTTTGAATTAAAAAAATTGGTAAACCCACGTCAATATATTTAATCATTTATAATTCGCACAAAGTACTCGAATAATAAAATGGCAAGCAAGCAGTTATTATAAACGGCTTTATAAAATCTACAATTTCAATGGAAAGGCTAGATTTAAGTGGAGGAAAATTATACTCACAAAACATGTATACTGAAGAAAGTATCGTTCGCAGATTTCATTGGACGAAGCAACCGACGCATGGGGCATTAAAGTGGAACGAGTGGAGATGTAAGTAAACCAATGCTCGAATATAGCTGATAATCTTTTTTTGTTTCTTCGTCTTAACTCTACCCTACGAGGCTCAAAACCCGCGCACACTATTCCTTAACGACACTGCTAAACGACTATAATGACGATTTTACGCCCCGTAGGGGTAATAACGTAGGCCACTCGTTCGATTCATAGCCAATATTTCAATGTTCCCCGAATGTCAATCGGCCGAACCGAGAGCCGAAGCCCGAAAAATACGTCAGAGGCCACGCAAGTATATGAAACATGATTTGACACAATTGCGATATTCGTGCTTCACAGCAAGGACGTACGACTACCGGTGCAATTGCAGCGAGCGATGGCTGCCGAAGCCGAGGCTGCCCGCGAAGCTCGCGCTAAGGTAAGGAGTGAGCAAAGAAGACGGAGACGGGACGATCGCGCGGTACTCTGGCTAATATTGTGTGTTATTGTCTCGTTGCAGGTGATCGCCGCGGAAGGTGAGCAGAAGGCCAGTAGAGCACTTCGAGAGGCTTCCGAAGTCATTGGCGACTCGCCCGCTGCCCTCCAGCTCCGATATCTCCAGGTCACCACTCATTTTACTCCCTTAACAATTGCAATTCGACTAATTAGCATTAGTTAAGCGGTCGCCTCTTGCGAATCTAACGTTGCGATTATAACGATTATTCACGCGATGAGGCTTTTTTAAGCGCTACCCGCGTTTTTAACTCGAATAATTATTCGAATACAAGCTTCGACGAGGCTTTAGAGTTTTAGTAAATATCTTTTGCGCCCCATTACGACTTTATTATTTATCTTATTTGTGCTTATTTAGCTCCGTGATTTTTAGCTTTTGAAAACTGCAACGGAGACGGGCCTTTGTGTAGACTACCTATTGTGTAGGGAGAAATGTTTATTTTTTTTTTTTTTTTCAATTTGACAAAGTCGTGTCGTTTATTCGTCAATCGATAAATTTACTATTTGGCGCTTGGTGACTTTGTGCGAGTGCGTACGTTACAAAATAAATATAATAAATTTAACATTTCGGAATATTAATATTCGTGCTCGTTTCAACGCTCGACTCTATTATTAATGCGCACGATGACCTGTGCAATGCAAACTGGCCTGGGATTTGAAAAGAAACTGTCCCCGCCCGAAGACACGAGTAAAATTAATAAATAAGTGAGATAATAATTTTGATTTTCAGACATTGAATACAATTTCGGCCGAAAAGAATTCAACAATTGTATTCCCTCTACCCATCGACTTGGTCACGTACTTCTTGAAAGCAAGTGAGGCGAGGGCCTAAGGCAACTAACTACTTTCCTTTTAATTAATTCGCATGATATTTTTCCTCTCCAGAGAAATCAATAGACAGATGTATAAACAACGATAAATGAAGACAGGCGCATTTGGTCCACGAGCACTTTCGTCATTGATGACATTACATGTACAACTCGTATTGACTGTTATAACAAAATTAATTGGTATTGTAAAATTATATTGGTACAATGAATTATCATATGCTAACATGGAAAATATAGTTTAACGTAAAATCGTAACAACTATGTAAGCAAAATGTACGAAGCTGATTAAGAGATTTGAAAAGCGTATATTGTTCAAGTGTACGCTATTATTTCCCCCTTTATATTTGGCACTGGAATTAAAGAGAGAGAGAGAGAAAGAGATAGAGATAGAGAGAGAGAGAGAGAGAGAGAGAAAACTTAGCACAAGCGCATTTAACCATATGCGGACTCTTATGCTTAGTCCGCAAGGGCCTCAGCTCAATCATTGCGAACCAATCGAAACTGTGAGGATTCTGGCTGAATTGCAACATAACTCCAATAAGGATTGCTCGACTGGCTATTCGAGAATTAGATGAATGAGTTCATTGAGCCAGAATCCTTGTAATTCAGCTGCTCATTAATACTGCAATGAGTTGGAAAATCAGCTCTTACTATAAAGAATTGGATAGATGGAATTGCAATATTATGCAAAAGATGATTATGAAGTTCCGTTAATTATTTCATGGACCTGACGAATACATTCGTAGTCCTTCTCGGTTGTATGTACATATCTATTCATTATTGCATACTTAAAGTGCAATGATTTCACATGGAGTGTATGAGACTATAAATGTAAAAAATTCAATTACTATTCGTTTAACTTATTTCGTACATTATGATTGAGAATTATTCGAATTATAATTTTAATTCTATTATGTTGCTGGAATTGAATGACATACAAATGATTGTTGTTGGCTCGAATGAAAAGATAAATCTCAATCATTTTCCCTCTTCTTTTATAAAGCTTTGTACGACACTGTGGAATATTTATTTAATACTTTGTTAATCTATTTTGTTAAAAAATGAAAATCTAATTTTAATAGTTTATTTATTAGTTTTATGATACAGTTGTTTTTATGGGAATTTAGAATGTATATAAATTGTAAAAATTGAAGAAATCGAATTTATGAAATATATACTCAATCCATTAATGATTACACTAATTTAGAAATTGAATATGAAGAAATTTTCAAGCCAAACAATTACTATCGGCTAATTGTAATATTAATTACGTTATTACTAAGAAGTTTACGACCGTTTTTCTTCTTTTTTTTTTTCTTTGAATAGTTGGAAATATTTTTGAAACCTATTTACCTACTGTTAATGATTTACAATAATTTCCAAGTAATCTTAAAGAAAAAAGTGTTCAGTTTAAATTATTCAATGCTCTAATAGCAGTGTTTTTTTTTTTTGTGAAAATTTTGTATACATAAATCTCGGTACTTGCAAATGCTAAAAAAAGTGGGATCTAATCACTAAAATATGAAATTTACTCGTGCAGACTAAATTTTTATGAATATAATCTTAGTTAAATTACATCATTCTCTTAATATGATACTTAATACTTAAACATAGATCAATTTTGTGTAATTATACTTTTCGCCAGACAGGAATATATATACACAAAATTATACAATCATTTTCAGAATAAAGTCGTCAAAATACTTTCATAGAGCATAATTAAAAAAAAATTTATTATCTTCACTTTTTCTAGCTCATTATCGTATATTATTTAAAAATTGTATTGTTATAACACTGTGATTTAAATAATGATTATTAACCAAAAGAAATGATTGTACATAGGAATTTCTTAAAGTTAAAAGTAAAACTATCAGACAATGACAGAGAAATTTGCGCATCGAATTGAGAGAACTATAAATTTAGTCGATTAAATAATTTTTTACTAATTCTATATTTACACATAAAAAAGCGATAAATGTGTACAAATCACAAAGTAGTTTGGAATTGATAGTTTAATTCGATCGATAATAAAAATTAACATATAATGTAAATGATTCAGTATCGGCAAGTAAAGTTTTAATTAACTAATGTAGTTAATGATCTCTCGTTTCTGGTTCTTCATCATACGACGCCATGATTTTTTCCATTATCTCCCAAAGCTTATCTCTCGTCAAATCTTTACAGAAAACCTGTAAAAATGTCAATGATGACAAAATTATTTATAAATGTTGAATTAAATTATATATATATATATATATATTTATTTATTTATTTATTTATTTATTTATATCATATAGAAATCATGTTGCCTTTATAATTGAAAGATACTCGATGTAATAATAAAACTATTGTAATAAAATGTAACAAATATGTTTTTACTTTATGGACCATCGTTAATAGCTTGATGAAAATCAAAAGAATTTTGCATTATTAAGCAATTATAAAAATATGGATTTGAAACGTTCATATTTTAGAAAAGTAAAATCACTAAATGTAATCACTACCATTTGACATATCCTTTACATTTTATATAATTATTATTTTAAAAATTGTTTTCTAACAAATGACGTTTCATAGACCATTCATAAACAATATAATCAGACAAATCTTTTAATATCCAAAGTAAGAAATAATGTCACATTACAAAATAATAAACTTTCAGTAACAAATAATAATGTTATTGTTTCTAATTTACAATTTCTTAATATTATATGGAATAAAATATATAAGAGAAAAAAAGAAAAAAGGAAACTTATACCTTTAAGAGCTAAATACATATTTTAGTTTTTAAGCTTACATTAAACCACGGTTGTTGATCGCATTCATCCATTAATGGCACCACTACTCCATAAATTTGCAAAGCCAAATTTATACAAGCGATGGCAACTAAATTTGGTGGATAATCAAGAATAGCGGGAATGTGATGGAAGTCCTGCAGTAAGGACATACTGGTTCTTGCCACAGGATATTTTTGCCATTCTTCTTCCCCGAACCAGGCTTGTAAAGATCTCAGAAAATGTAACATGTACTGAAAATAATTATTTGTACACAAATATTTTAATACGACATTAGAACAATTGGCGATGGATAAGGCTTAATTCTAATTTTTACTTAAAGCAGTTCATCATAATATATTTACCTTCCCATTTAAAAAAAAATCTAAATTTCTAAGTATATCTTGGCTAAAAATATATAAGACTTAAGATTTACATTAAGATTAGAAGATAAAAATGGATATTGAAATTGTATTTACATACATATGAATTACAATGACACTTTGCACGTTTATATAAAAAATAGCCTCTTAACACAAACACATTATATGGTTAGCAATCCCATATCTTATTATATTTCTATAATTCTCTATAACGCATAAATTCTTAGCTTACTATTTTCAAAAATACAAATTAATTCATCGATACTAACTATACCAATTGGTAATTTAATTTATAATAATGCACGTAGTACAAGGCATACCTTATGTGGATGTTCCGGCATTACTTGAAACTTTAGCATTCGCATTATTAGCAACTCCGCTTGTACTATGGCGTCGCGCATACCCCAATATTGATCCCCTAATTCTAAAGGCGCTGCACCTCGATGCAATGTACTGTACGAGACATTCATAACGTCCCTGATTTTCAAGTGATTATCTTTCATCTTTCCAGCCAGGTACAAACACGTCGATCCAATGAGCTTAGGGGAAAAGTTTTCATTTAAAAAGTATATTTTGCATTATTTTCAGCTTTATTAGAAACGGTATTGACATACATATGAGTCATATCCTTGCGGTACTGCCTCTCTCATAAACCTGTGATATAAAGTTGCAGCTGTCGAAATTGTTAATGGATGGGCCTCTAATTTAAAGCCTTTAAACATATATATATATATATATGTTATTTTTATGTCATATATATGTTAGCTTATAATAACAATTGTGGTATAGTAAAAGAATTATTTATTACAATATTTGCATAATTTTAAATTGTCGATAAATATAAGTGGCATTTTTTCATTAACAATTGTTGTACAATCTCTCGTAAATTCCTAGTTCGAAAGTCGTTACTACAAAATTTTATTCGATATCTTAACGTACCTTGAATTTTTGAACTACTAAATATTACATCTATGAATATTGTACGTTTACATTCGATAATAATTACTTACCACATTCGAATATAAATCTTGCTACTGTGAAACTATCGCTCGCTTTAGTATAATCAATGATAATACTTTTCTGTAAACTAATTCTTTTTTCTCTTTGCATAGCGAGTACATCAATAACGCCCTTCATTTTTGAACTGAAATGAAATTACGGTAAAAAATTAACTTAGTAGAAACTTAATCCAAAACAATATGAGTCGAATGTGACAAATGTTGTAATAATCAAATGATATGATTTGATAACAAAACAACATACAAATATGCGTGTAACTGGAACTACGATAGCTCGGAAGATAAAATAAAGTTTAAGAATAAAATTAGTCGCTTCAGTCTTCGATCAAGATTCATTGCTTCCTGCGATTAAACATAAAGATATATATAAATATATATATATATATATATATATATATATATATATATTTTTTTTTTATTTTTTTTTTCAGTAAACATTAAACAAATTTTTTTTTAATTAAGAGGTGTATTATGATAAAAGTGATCCTGGTCGTAAACGTGATATCCAAGAAGTGTAAAATTAATGTGCAATATGCATAGGGGCTACAACCACGAGTTTGGCTGGTGACAAATATTTGTGAAATATAGAAACGCAGCGAAGACTCGCTTACCTCAAAATTTCGCCAGTATTCGGCTCCAAGTGAATCATGTTTTCAACCTCTAAAACAACATATACGCGCCGGAAGTATTCATACTTATAACAACAGCAAGCAGCAAAGACAGAGAGAGAGAGAGAGAGAGAGAGAGAGAGAGAGAGAGAGATAGAGAGTCTTATCGTTTTATTTAATTTATTTATCTTATTTATGTTCGTTTGATTATTTGATTGATTGATTGATTGATTGATTGATTTATTGATCGATCGATTGTTTGTTTGTTTGTTTGTTTGTTTGTTTGTTTGTTTGTTTGTTTGTTTATTTGTTTATTTATTTATTTATCTATTTATTTATTAACGAAATGAGAATGAAATCAGATAATTATTACTATACTTGTGTAGAAAATAAATATTACATTAAAGAAATCAGCCTCAACAAGAACGCCTTCTCTTCCAATGCAGGTTATAGGTAACAAATTGTAAACTTTTATGGAAAATAAAATTTCGTTATCAGCAAATTAATTATATGGTTATTTTTTCATCGTACCTTTTCATCATAATCATTAAAACGCTGCACAAAAAGCGATCACTGATATAACAAGCCGCATTGACCGCGGACGAAGTGGTTGATTTAGATATCCACTCTGGATATAAAACCCAACTCATCCACAACGCCACGCTAAACTGAAATACGAAGCGACCGGTCGATTTGAGGTTAGGTTGAAATTTCAATAGGCTTTTTTCGACTTTCGACTCGACTCGTTTCGAAAAACGTGGCAATCGACTTTCCCATACTTTTTCATCGAATGGGCTGAGCCTCGTTATTCCCAAGCCCAAGAATAATCATCGAGTTGGACAGTGTGATAATGTGCAGGGGTCATGGATTAGCTGGATTAGCTCTGCTTTTTGAAGATAACTTCAAGGGAAGGAATTCATAATTGCGTTAATGGCAAATTAAATGGTAATCAGCTAGGCAGTCTAGCTAAACAATCACGTTCGCGTGTGCTGTTGCTGCTGCTCTATATTTCTTTCACTAGCCCATACAAATTATCATCATACCGCTTATCGTACAATATAAAATTATCTACGTGTAATTTATTGCACGAGGCCGTGCTTAAAAATCAGCAATATGTGCGTAGATTTATTTAAAATTTTATGATTTTAGAAGAAAATCGGGAGTAATATGCGAGTAGTATTGCCAGTTGTTTGAGCAGCTTGTATACATAGGCTTGGATGTAAGGCTAAAATGTTTGAAAATAAATAAATGTTAATTTAATTTTTTCCTCGCTGCTTGATCGAGACGATACATTCAAATGTTCTGTTGCAGAGTGAAAAACAAATAAATAAATAAGAACGTTTTGACGTGTATCGATATAGCAACTCAATTATGATTAATTGACATAAATGCTCAAGAATATGTTAAAAATATTGCCATACGCGCCTCAAACGTTAAACAATAAAAATTGGCAATTTTTAATTTATCAATGTTTAATTTTTCATCCCATTTTTATCGATGCTTATCCTGAATCATAATTTGAATATGAAAACATTAAATAAACAGTTTTTTTCCTTTAAAAAAAAAAAAAAAAAAAAAAAAAAAAAAAAAAAACTACAAACAATCTACAATTGCACATAGATTACATGTGTGTATATCATAATGCAACAAACACGTAACTTAACTATATGTTTTTCAATAAATTCGTTATTACTTAGCATTATACACATAAAATTGTTTTAGCAATATTATCCTATGTTGCTTTAACCGTGCGCCCATTCTATCTTAAATAGCTCTTTTTAATTATCCATTGTTACAATTCACTAGCATAAGAAATTAAATCGGGTAGATTCAACTTTAATTTAATTGTTCAACTTGGCGCTACTACTATCTTGCTTACCATTACCAATTCATACGACAAAACGACCTTGCAATGATGAACATCTTGTCAACTCTCTTTCTCTCTCTCTCTCTCTCTCTCTCTCTCTCTCTCTCTCTCTCTCTCTATATATATATATATATATATATATAAATCTATTTGTTACTTTCACTTTTTATACTGCACTTATAGTGCCAATAATCGCATACAAATGATATTTAAAACTTTACTTAACACAAATGAGAATATATTTTTACGATGCTTATGCATTTCATTATGAATGATTTTATTTGCAATTTTACATGCGAATGAACAATTTTTTTTTTTAAATTAAATGTAACGTACTGTATTATTTATCGTAAAATACTATTGCAATAATTTTGTATTGCAAATTTTTACATGAAATTTAATAGTAATGTTCTTTGGCATTTGAAGAATAGCCAAGCTTTTAAGATTCGAAATATAACTGATAAAAACCTGGTTGACTGACTAATCTATACCAGTGTCTATACCAGTATTCCGTTTTGTTTGCAAACATTTAAAACTAATTGTATCTTTGAGATATTTCACCAATGTGAGAATCAGGTAGCTAACATGACAAAATATCTGATGAATGAATTTTTCGTTAAAATTAACTCCAATTGCTCATATCAATATGCTTTTTTTGATAAACTACCTGTTATCTAACTAAGAAATTAGGCATTTATTCGGGTCAAAATAATATATTTTCAAAGGTTGAATATATTTTCGTCGTAATTATATTATTCTAAACGTAATTTACAGTACGCTTACCTTACGTTGTTTTAGCTTATTTAAAAGTTTATTAATCTCGTGAACGCTCGTGGCAGGGATTTCAAACAGTCTGTTCCGAAAATAACAATATTTTAAAGTGCAATTTATTTTTTAATGCGCGGTCTACAATAATAAACAATAGAATACAATAGATTATATTCTCTATTATAGCTACTTGCAAATAATGAACGAACGAATATTTAAATATATACATATATATATATATATATATATATATATTACCTTCGTAAAATATTACTTATAATCGTACTGTTGTTTTCGTGTTTGCTCGTAATATAATTTAAATAATTAAATTTGCGTTATAATAATGTGCCCAATTGAATGTAAATTTAAGCCATTTTAATATCGATCTTTACCTTCTCGAATTTTGAAACACAAGAGGTAAGAATTGAGAATGAGTATCGTAATTAAATGCCTGACCAGTTAAAATGAGTATAACATTTTATTTTATATAGTTTTATAATTTGAATAGAAATATTTCTAGCATATAGTTTTTAATTTTAAAAACATTATCTGTGCAGTTTCGAACCGCCTCTACGATACAATCGCTCCGGTCTTTGACCCGCCCCCATTTCAATGATTACTATATTTAGTAATAATTAAAAGGACGGTGGCAATAGTAGTGGTAGTAGTCGTAGTAGTAGTAGTAGTAGTAGTAGTAGTAGTAGTAGTAGTAGTAGTAGTAGTAGTAGTAGTAGTAGTAGTAGTAGTAGTAGTAATAGTAGTAGCAATATACTAATTAGTAGAATCATAAACTGATTTTTGAAAATTAGCAGAATACACAACTTTATATTAAATCTGTACACACTCTTCGTACAGAATAAACAGTATGATATATTTTATTCTTTCGGATTTTAAAAAGGTATTCTACAAAAGACGTAATTAACTAAAAAGATATATAACATAGGTAATTTCCAATTGTAGAGTAATTCAATCAATTCTATTGAATATTTGAAATCCAGTATTACGTAAATATAAATATCGATACAATATTTCAAACTGATTATTACATCTAAATATAATAAAGCAACCACTATTGTTTCCATAAATTTCAAAACTGTCTATAATGTACATTTAATACAGTTTAACAAATAATTCATTACTTTACATAATAAATATGATAACGGAATTTTATAATAATTTGAAATATAACAATAAAGATAAACCTAAATTATCGTATTCGTAGAAGAGATAATACTTTATTTTACGTTATTGACGCTATTAAATAAACTTAAGGCTATTCATAAATATTAGCTCCTATGGCACTTTTAAATGTAAATTATTTAAGCATTAAAATACTTTATTCTTTATCGAAAATTAGAATCATTGGTTTTTTATGAAAATATCGAAAATAGCTTTTATAAGAATATCAAAAGAAACTAAAAGCTACTGACTGATTACTATTGCAGCTATAAAAATGTTGCCGCCTAAGATATTGAAGCACACACATACACACACTTAAAAAATAAAATATAATAATTCCACGAATGTACAAATAGAGTTTCTTAAAAATGTTTATTAAAGTATATTTATATAATGAAATCTATCATGTACGAATAAAATTACACCGAGTGATCTGGTTAAATCGCTAAATTTTATTTTACCAATACATTTTTAGAAATAAAACACAACTCGAAGATAAACTATTAAAATATATATATATCAAGATATAATTAACACAAGTAACTTAAGTACATTATAAACCTATAATATTTAAACAGCTATATGATTTTATTTCCGTTTAGCCAAAGCTTCTTGCAAATTATAAGTATTTCGTCATTTATTAAAAATGTGAATTTGACGTTTAACTTGACCTTCGCTTCAACTTGCTTCTGTACATTTATGCAGGCTTGTTTTATCATATAAGGGAAGTAAGGCACTTGAAAAAGAGAAAGTTGGCAAACTTTAATATTCTGGTTTATTTTCTTTTATATCATACTTTTACGTCTTTATAAATACAAATTTCTTTTCAAATGAAAATTAAAATTAGACTGTAATTGTTTATATAGGAATGAGATTCAATTGTCATTATTGTTAGTGCACTTTATTTAACATTGTACAAAAAGTTTAATGATTCGTTAAAATTTCAAGTAACATTACTTTTAATTAAAAAGGAAATATTTTTAATTCAATTATACCTGTGCATTAAATAAAAATTAATTTTATTCTACACGTATCCGCAATAAAAGGTTTCATAATGAGTGAAGCGTGGGAGATTCGAAACTTCCCCCCCCCACTTCTTTCCCTTTTTACTTTATAAATATTACTTATTTTTAGCATCTTTTGGAAATATTAAAAATATTTCACGCATGCCTAATAATCGCATAATAACGAAAAGTAAAAGTTCTATTTCTAATTAAATTCTCTCTCCGTGTCGCTGTCCTGTGAAAATAAATATTTATCACTTTGTATTTGCGAGAATTAATTGGTATGACAATAATATTCGTAATTATTTCTATTTTCCATTCGAACTGTATTGTATAAATTTAGTAGAAAGCAGCGATTTATTGCAGAGGACGGAAAAAGTGTTTAAGTTAACCATATCGCTGTATCGAAAAAATGTTATATATATATATATATATATATATATATCAGTAATAATGTGCTTGAATATAAAATAACCATAGAATGAATCTGACCATGAATACTGTTACGAGTGCGTGAATATTGAGAAAATGACGACTCGCAACCCTTCGTTGACCTCACTCGCGTGATTGAATTATGATAAAAGAAAAAAAAGCAGATACCTTTTGCTTTTGCTTTTGCAGAAGGCAGAACTTCTGCAAATTACATAAGTGTTTTTATCGAAGAATGCAAAAACGTGGGAAGTCCTCTCTTCTTACAAAGGCTTTCTTCGGCAATACCGTAGCACTTTATTCATCGTGTTCTTGAAGAATTTTAAAGGTAAGACTGAGTCATTATTAACGGCATGAAAAATGACCGTCGCTTTTATACGAGCGAGTTGATCTTTACGCACTTAGTAAAACAATGTAGA